ATGTAGAAGAGACATGAAGAAGAGGGGACACATGTTGATGTAGAAGAGACATGAAGAAGAGGGGACACATGTTGATGTAGAAGAGACATGAAGAAGAGGGGACACATGTTGATGTAGAAGACACATGAAGAAGAGGGGACACATGTTGATGTAGAAGAGACATGAAGAAGAGGGGACACATGTTGATGTAGAAGAGACATGAAGAAGAGGGGACACATGTTGATGTAGAAGACACATGAAGAAGAGGGGACACATGTTGATGTAGAAGAGACATGAAGAAGAGGGGACACATGTTGATGTAGAAGAGACATGAAGAAGAGGGGACACATGTTGATGTAGAAGAGACATGAAGAAGAGGGGACACATGTTGATGTAAAAGAGACATGAAGAAGAGGGGACACATGTTGATGTAGAAGAGACATGAAGAAGAGGGGACACATGTTGATGTAGAAGACACATGAAGAAGAGGGGACACATGTTGATGTAGAAGAGACATGAAGAAGAGGGGACACATGTTGATGTAGAAGAGACATGAAGAAGAGGGGACACATGTTGATGTAGAAGAGACATGAAGAAGAGGGGACACATGTTGATGTAGAAGAGACATGAAGAAGAGGGGACACATGTGATGTAGAAGAGACATGAAGAAGAGGGGACACATGTTGATGTAGAAGACACATGAAGAAGAGGGGACACATGTTGATGTAGAAGAGACATGAAGAAGAGGGGACACATGTTGATGTAGAAGAGACATGAAGAAGAGGGGACACATGTTGATGTAGAAGAGACATGAAGAAGAGGGGACAACATGTTGATGTAAAAGAGACATGAAGAAGAGGGGACACATGTTGATGTAGAAGAGACATGAAGAAGAGGGGACACATGTTGATGTAGAAGACACATGAAGAAGAGGGGACACATGTTGATGTAGAAGAGACATGAAGAAGAGGGGACACATGTTGATGTAGAAGAGACATGAAGAAGAGGGGACACATGTTGATGTAGAAGAGACATGAACAAGTGGATTTTGCATAATAGGTGACCTTTAATATTGCTTGAATATCTTGTACACTGAACCAATACCTGTGACTGTATAACATGTACATTTGAGTGGGCTTGTGTACTGAGATGACTTAATTATGTGGTATCAGAAAGACACGAGTTATTTTTTAATGCTCAGTCAAATCACTTCTTGAAGAGTACAGAAATGTCTCAGGCGGTTTACTGAGAAACGACTGCAAGAAAATGTGTCGATGACGAAACTGATCTGTGAGATAAAATGCAAATGATCAGTTTCAGAGGAGTGGGCAAAGTCAAGTTTGATGCTCTTGTAAACATTCAGATTATTTCATTTGTATTCATTTTGAAGGCAAATTAGATAATCCTCGCTAAAATAAGGACACTGCAGTTATGGCTTTGAATAGATCAATTTCTCAACACTTTTTAAAACAGTCAGATAAAATGTACTTGGGGGGGGGGGGGGGGGTTTGTTTGTGTGAAAAATAAAGTGTTTTTGTCATTAAAGCATCATCAAAATCATCACCACATACTTTACGACCTTATTTTCTTATACTTATCAATGGTTTCTCACTGGATAAGCATCCAGACACGCTGTAATGCCATTATTGGAGGAGTGAGTTCATGAAAACATGCTGAAAAACTGAAGAAAACCACTTTTATTAAGACTGCCACTACATACGAATTATGTTGTACTGGTGACGTTATTTTATCTTAGTTGCCAGTGCCAAAGATTCTGAATGTGAAGAAAAACGCAATTTTTACCCCTTTTGAATACTTTGACAGTAACAGACAAGCTACAGTGCTGGGTTGATGATCAGATTATATAGCAGACCCCCTGCAATAACCTCGAGGACCCTCTGGGGGTCGCAAACCCCCTGTTGAAGACCCATAGTTTGAACCACACTGAAATCAGATGAATTTACCGCCCAAGTGCAGATTGACAGATGTCAACAGATTTCACTGTATTACGTTAGTTGAAAGACATTCTATTAAGTTGAACCAAATTGTTATTTAATATTAATATCATTGCTTTCAACTAACCTAATACAGTTATGTGAAATCTGTTGACATAATACATTTAATTAAAGTCAACGTTTCAGTTTTTTCAGTTTCTGATTAAAGTGTGCTCTTCAAACTAAACCTCACTGAAACAATGACAGCAGCAGAAACAAACCACAGTTTTCCGGGTTGACTGTAACTTCAGTAAAAACGGGTGTAACCCCACAAAATGTTTCCAGGCCAAACACACGTGTGTGACGTCGGGAGGACAGCGAATCTCATAACATCAGCTCTGTCATTATCTGTGTAACTAGATATGTTCCACAGTTTGCACCTTATGGTTGCACAGCAAGAGTGTGTGCATGAAAGAAATGCATGAGATGAAACCACAGAAAGTATTTAACATGTTCCAAAGAAGAATAAACGGTGATGAAAAATCTGTGTCACATGTGATGTAACATCAGACTTAAAAGGCATCACACACACTCCATTCAAACACATAGGATGTCTTTTGTGAACCTGTAATAAGGCAGTAAAGGGAAATGATAATCCAATGAACAAAGATGTGAAGGCTAGATTGATTTAATTCAGTCAAATAAATGGAGCTAATGGAAATAGAGAAGTATTTGTTGTCAGTCTGTTACTTTAAAAAAAAATGTTATTGCAGAAATGATGTTGGTATTTACAACTACAATGACATATTGTTTTTTTTCTTTTTAATGTGGATATGCCGGCATTAAGATACCCAGTTTTTCTTTTAATCTAACCATCATATTAATTCACTCTTATCCGTCAATATAACAATTGTTTTATAGTTTCTTACTTGAGAAAATAACGACCAACAACAACTCATCATGGACATGAAACACAGTTTAATTAGCAAACAGAAAGTGAAATAAAGGTATTCTAGATCAAAACACGTTGTGTTGTATACCGATCAAGTTACCAGACTGTGATATCATTGTAAATAAAAGTACACACAGTTCCTCAAAGTTTAAGTTGATCAGAATATCTTTAAATGTCTTGTTTTTAAGTCAGAAACATTAAAGGTCCCATGTCATGCTTTTCCGGTTACCACCCGTCCCCTTGTGTGTTATGAAGCTTTTTCTGCAAGTGAACGGTCTGCAGTCACAAACCCTCAAAGTACACCCTGTAGCGAGTAAAGCTCTAACACAGAAAGGACCTGTGTGTTCTGCCCCAGAACGCCTCGTTGGAGATTTCTCTTTTTCCATTTGTTTCTTCCGGGAACCAAAATGGTCTAATCCGCGGAGCTCCTCACACACCAGGACCTTTAGCGTAAATGTTCAACCAACAGGGAGTCCCATATATGGGGCGAAGCCTGCGAACTAGTTCAGGCAGTCAACTCGAGCACTCATGCTGCATTCATACATAACGCCCCAACAACCAACCAACCAGAGTCTCCGTAATATGCCGCTCTATTTAACCTGCCAGATATCTCTATGCATTGCTACTTCCACGTCGCTGCTGCTCGCCTGCCCCACCACCACCCCAGCTTCCACCCCAGCTTCCACCTGTAGGCTCGGGGGTTAGTTAATTGATCATCACTCATCGTGCTTTGTATATCTATGGAGTGATGAGGCCCGAGCCTAGACGCCAAACTCAACTATATGCTGCTTCTAATAAACACGTTAAAGAAACACGTGAGTTGTCTGAATGAAACTTGCATAGAGCTCCCTGAACGCTGGTAATAGACGAGTTGGGATGGCGGACAAATGCTCTCCGCAGACCCATTCTCACAGCGTTATAAACCTTTTTCTTTCTCAATATCAAGCCACACTTATTGTTTTTACTTCGGCTGTGAGTGTTTGTGTGCTCAGGATGAGTTTCGCACTGTCCCGCTGTATCGCCGACCCGGACACCACACCAGTAAGCCAGCTCACTGAGCAGCGAGCCTCGCAACGTCCCGACCAATCAGAGCACACTGGGCTCACAGGGAGGGGGGGGGGGGGGGGGGGGGGGGGGGCAGGAGCTCCAATAAGCCGTGTAGGACAGAGAGTGAATACACATACTATACAGAGATGCTGGATGAGAAACCAATGTGAGTTTGGAACATTGAACAATGTAAATCTATTCTAGTAGAGCTCAACAATGGAATTATGATCAGTAGAAATGGCCATGACATGGGACCTTTACAATATTCACTTTAATATGATATAAAGCATAGCAAGCTGACACATCTTCATATTTGAGAGGCTGAAAACAGCATTTTCTGCAATGTTTGTAGGACAAATGTATGTTAATAGAGTCTCAAAACCATTGACGATTAATATAAAGTAATAGTTACGAATCACCACAGCTGTTATCACATTTGTAATCTTGATGCATGGGAAATTCAGAGAGATTTAGCAGGACATATTAACTATATATCAAACCTGCAATCCTCTCCCTGAGTGCTGTGTCTTACTTTTAGCTTTTATAATATGTTTTGTATTATTTGTTGTTGTTTTGAGGGAAACTAGCAATGATGTGTTTTAAAGCTAATAAATAAAACGTTGTATTTTAAAAAACAACCAGCAAAGGCTTTTAGTTGTTAAGAGTCGTCTTAATGCACATTCTCCCACAAGCATTATCTGCAAAAAAGCTTTAAACCTCCTTTTTTCTGAAGGGACGTGTTTTACAACTGAATTGAATTAAAGGTTTTACCAGGTTGTGTTTCTTATAAGGTCTTCATAATCATTTTCTTTCAACTTTTCACTCAAGTGTGCAACTTTTCTACTTATTATCTGTCGCTTCTTTCATTTTTCTTGTGCGAGGAAGCTGTAAATAACGCTGACACTGGCTCAGTATGAACACATCTTTTCTGCAGAATAAGCAGCCGGTTAAAGCTGCCGCCTCTCTTTACCGGCAGAGCATCTCTTCAGTTTCCTGTGGCGGCACAAAGTTTCCGTGACACGCACGGACACGCACGGATAAAATGGTGAGTTTCAATGTTTTTGCTGTTTTCAAATCAAAGTGTGAGGGTGTGTGTGAGAGAGGAAGATCCTGACTCTCTGATGGCTCTATTTGTGTTGACAGTGCTCAGCCTCTGCCTGCCTGCGTGGAGCGGTGAGTACAAACACATTATGACAGATAAGAGATGTGGTGATAAGTGACTATTACTTTATATTAATCGTCAATTGTTTTGAGACTCAATTAACATACATTTTTCTGCTGTTTTCAGCCTCTCAAATATGTAAATGTGTCACTTTTCCATTCTTTATATCATACTCAAGTGAATATCTTAAAGTTTCTGATTTAAAAACAAGACTGAATGTTCATAAAACAGAAATGTGATTATTGGAATATGCCAGGTTCCAATTTCTTGTTATTGAAATGTCTTCCTGGTTTTCCAGTTGGCATTAATCTATTAAGTGTTATAAAACAACACTTAAAACAACACTAATGTTTTAAGTGCACTTTTCTGAAAGAAGATAAAGGAATGATATGGAAGCCAAACAGCAGGGAGTCTCTCAATTGACCTGTGCATGGAAACAAAATAATTATTGCCATAAATTGAGAACGAAAACAGTAAATCTGCGGATATGTTGATTTGTTTGATATTTGATTTGTCCTCAGCCATATGGATTTAATAAATAATGACATGGTGAAAAGAGGAGACACAATTGTGACACACAGCAGCCCGTTTTCTAACTGTCTCGTTTTACAGTTGGGAATTTGAATATCTCCTATATGACTCTATAAAGTGTTATAAAACCAGACTTGAAGGTGTAAATCAGATGTTTTATAGACACCTTTGTAACAGGAGATACAAGGACTGTTATGAAAGCAGAGCAGGGAGTCTCTCAATGGATCTGTGCATGAAAAATACTTTTTTGCCTGAAGTTTATCGCCATAAATTGATATTTGCTCTATGCCTAAAATGTTAATCTGCTGAAATGTTGCCTGTCCTTTGCCATTTGGACTCACTAAATTATCTCAAGGTCAAAAATGTGACGCACGGCAGCCCATTTTCTAACCGTCTCTTCCCAATTCCCCCTGTTTCTCTGCAGCTGTGAAGGTGGTCCAGCCCTATAAAGTGGTGAGCAGCAATGGTACGGCTCTGGTTCAGTGCTTTCTTCACCCCCAACCCTTCCACCACCAGAGCCCCCTCCCTAACAACGACCTGTCGTACCCGTTCCCTGAACCTGAGGACCTGCGGGTGACTCTGCTGCGAGGCCTCCACGGATCCACCAAGATTTGCTCCTCCATCCTCAACCTCACAGGGCCGATAGAGACGGGGGAGGAGGGAGAGGTAAATGTGAGGGGGTGTTAAAGGTCACCTATTTGTCATGTATCTTCTACATCAACATGTGTCCCCTCTTCTTCATGTCTCTTCTACATCAACATGTGTCCCCTCTTCTTCATGTCTCTTCTACATCAACATGTGTCCCCTCTTCTTCATGTATCTTCTACATCAACATGTGTCCCCTCTTCTTCATGTCTCTTCTACATCAACATGTGTCCCCTCTTCTTCATGTCTCTGCTACATCAACATGTGTCCCCTCTTCTTCATGTCTCTTCTACATCAACATGTGTCCCCTCTTCTTCATGTCTCTTCTACATCAACATGTGTCCGCTCTTCTTCATGTCTCTTCTACATCAGCATGTGTCCCCTCTTCCTCATGTCTCTTCTACATCAACATGTGTCCCCTCTTCTTCATGTCTCTTCTACATCAACATGTGTCCCCTCTTCTTCATGTCTCTTCTACATCAACATGTGTCCCCTCTTCTTCATGTCTCTTCTACATCAACATGTGTCCCCTCTTCTTCACGTCTCTTCTACATCAACATGTGTCCCCTCTTCTTCATGTCTCTTCTTCATCAACATGTGTCCCCTCTTCTTCATGTCTCTTCTACATCAACATGTGTCCCCTCTTCTTCATGTCTCTTCTACATCAACATGTGTCCCCTCTTCTTCATGTCTCTTCTACATCAACATGTGTCCCCTCTTCTTCACGTCTCTTCTACATCAAACATGTGTCCCCTCTTCTTCATGTCTCTTCTACATCAACATGTGTCCCCTCTTCTTCATGTCTCTGCTACATCAACATGTGTCCCCTCTTCTTCATGTCTCTTCTACATCAACATGTGTCCCCTCTTCTTCATGTCTCTTCTACATCAACATGTGTCCCCTCTTCTTCATGTCTCTTCTACATCAACATGTGTCCCCTCTTCTTCATGTCTCTTCTACATCAACATGTGTCCCCTCTTCTTCATGTCTCTTCTACATCAACATGTGTCCCCTCTTCTTCATGTCTCTTCTACATCAGCATGTGTCCCCTCTTCCTCATGTCTCTTCTACATCAACATGTGTCCCCTCTTCTTCATGTCTCTTCTACATCAACATGTGTCCCCTCTTCTTCATGTCTCTTCTACATCAACATGTGTCCCCCTCTTCTTCATGTCTCTTCTACATCAACATGTGTCCCCTCTTCTTCACGTCTCTTCTACATCAACATGTGTCCCCTCTTCTTCATGTCTCTTCTTCATCAACATGTGTCCCCTCTTCTTCATGTCTCTTCTACATCAACATGTGTCCCCTCTTCTTCATGTCTCTTCTACATCAACATGTGTCCCCTCTTCTTCATGTCTCTTCTACATCAACATGTGTCCCCTCTTCTTCACGTCTCTTCTACATCAACATGTGTCCCCTCTTCTTCTTGTCTCTTCTACATCAACATGTGTCCCCTCTTCTTCATGTCTCTTCTACATCAACATGTGTCCCCTCTTCTTCATGTCTCTTCTACATCAACATGTGTCCCCTCTTCTTCACGTCTCTTCTACATCAACATGTGTCCCCTCTTCTTCATGTCTCTTCTACATCAACATGTGTCCCCTCTTCTTCATGTCTCTTCTACATCAACATGTGTCCTCTCTTCTTCACGTCTCTTCTACATCAACATGTGTCCCCTCTGTGGAAAGAGACTCTGAAAGTTTCAGGAACAAAGATTCTCTCTCTTTTTGATCCATTTCTATAAAAACCTGTCTGAAAATGAACTGATCAGATTTTGGCCACTTTATGATGTCATAACAATGTTTTGTCTTGTGTAACCATTAGCCAATCAGCAACCAAGGTAACCCCGCCCCCCCCCCCTTATCACCTGAATCTCCTCCTAGAGCACCATTGAGTTCTTTTTAACCAAATGTCTCTCAGAGGGGCGTGGGGAGGGGCTCCTTATTTTCACCTAAAGTAACAGACAGAGAATCAGCACTTTGGAAACAGGGCTGAAACAGAGGGGATTATGGGTAATGCTGCAATGATCCGTTTGGTGTTTGGAGACAAACACTTCAGAGACATGTTTTGTATAAATCTGAGACCTATAATAGATTGATGAAAAACAGTATAATAGGAGACCTTTAAATTATTCCAACTTTGACCAAAATGATATGAAACGATGTACTTTAGAAGCTTGATTGTTACATGTTATGAGCCTTAGCAGACCATTTACATGCACAAAAACCTTTATATCACACTGCAGGGAAGCAAAGCCCCCACAAAGCACAATAGGGCCTCTTTAAATTCTTCCATTAAATTGTGTTTCCTGGCGTTTTAGGTGCAGTGCTCTGCTCAGAGGAGAGAGGGCGCTCTGGAGCTGACGGTATCCGGACTGAGAGCCACAGACACAGATCTGTATCGCTGTGACATAGAGATCTTCTACCCTCCACCGTACCTGCGGTTCACTGGAAACGGCACCCTCATTCACATTTTAGGTGACCTGCATATTTCAATAATATTACCCCCACTGATTCCACCGTTCACACATCATTCTTACTCTCTCTTCATCCTTTAACTCTGTCCTCAGGCAGCTCTGACTGTCCGGCGCCGGGGGCTCAGAGACAGATTTCAAACAAAGAAGATGAAGGAGAGGAAGATGAGGATGAAGAGACGGCGGCACCAGTCAATGTTCCTGTGATCGTCCTGGTGATACTGGTGCTGTTCGTCCTCATAGTCATTATGTACCTCCAGGTCAGAGCATTATATTGAATTTGTATCCCTATATTTTATCGTTATTATTTTATCTCTATAATTGAAGTGGTGGAAGATTGTTTTACGCCTAAGTTATTCATTTTCGTAACCTTTTATTGAGCATTTTTACTTTAACTTCTTATGTTTGTATGCATTTTAATTACATTTATGCACATTCTTACTTATTATTTTATTATATGTTTTTGTATATTTTATTCATACATACTCAAATAGAGTAGCGGTCATGAAACCCAACTTACCCCAAAATAAATAAAGTATTATTTCTGATTAAAAAATGATCAAATAACCCTGAAAAAGGTTTGCATTCAACACCCTAATAACACTCAGCTGTTAGCTACAGTACATGAACTTAAATTAAATATTGTAGATTGTCAATGTGTGTGTGAGCCTCTCCGCTCACACAGAGTTCAAATATGGACGGAAAGAGCAGGTTCGGTAACACTGGCGTTTATTAACTCCAAACAAAAGTATCCACGGGTCTCCAACGTTGCCCGTGTGGCAACCTTCACAGGTCCTTTTGCCACCTTCCAGGATCCCGCCTACTGCAAAACAAACCAGAACCAGGTTACGACATGCTTTTATTCCGGCACTGATTACCTGATTCCGATCAGCTGTCTGAGCTCCGGCCGAGCCACTCCCTTCACTCCAGCAGCCGGCGCCCTAACCCCACCCCGCTGCCACAGTGTGCTCTTCCAATTAAAAGATAATCAGATACATAAAAAACATACAATTATACTGTGAAAGTCTATATTTGTTGGCAAATGAAACTGCAGTAGGATAGTGAATAGTGGCTTTTTATAGTAAAGTCATTTAAGCGTCAGAATTATATAAAAATATAATTGTAACTACAGTATACAGTCAATTTGAGTGAGCAAATGTTAGGGCTGTACAAGGGCGTGGAATCAAATGCACGATGCAGAGACAAACAAAGTATCAACATGTGTTTTAATGTAGACAGGTCATAACACACTGAATACATAAAGCAACAAAACAAAAACTACTAATACACTAATCTAACTCTATGGACGATAACTCTATGGACAATGACAAAAGGATCTTACGCTGGAAGGCTTGGAACACACAAGACAATCTGGCAACGACACAGGGGAAGACGAGAACTATACTAGACAGACAACACCAGGTGAAGACAATTAGACAATCACAACCGTGGGAAAACAGACAAGGCAGGAAACGTACTTTAGACACATGAGGGTAGACAAGACTATCAAAATAAAACAGGAACCTATCGAAACACTTAACATGAAACCTAAACTAGGGAACAATCTTAGCAGAGCCGTCTACGCACAACAGCAAATGTGTTTTGGACATATTGAAATAAAGCATTGATGTTTCTGTTACTTGTCCCCATGATTGAAATATAATAAAAGGTAGTTATCATGTATTGTTTACTGAATTAAAATCTCTGTGTTTTTATTTGCAGGCCTCACAGTGCGATCGAGGGAGGAGGGAGATTATCAGACCGGTTCACACGGTGGACGCTGCTGTATTTTCAAGTTACAACTTGGCATGAAAATCAGGATTTGATAGTCAAGTTGGGCCTATTTCGTCCATCTTTGCCTAGTATCATTAAAGTACCATTGATTTGAATGGAGGATACAAGTAAATAGGGTCGGTCGTTACCCTTTATTAAAGATCACCTCTGTTATGAGTTTTTTTTTTTTTACCGAAAGAAGAACAAATACCAGAATTGCATTTTGGTGTGTGTATATTACGCTGATTAAGTATGAACAATTATGTTTACATTATAGTAAACACAACTTGTATTGACTTGTATTGCTAATACTGCAAACTACTTTTTAATTAAAATTGATCATGATGGAGATAACATGCTTTTTAATGATATGTATAAACACATGTAAAGGGTTGAATTGTGTTGTTAAATCTAAAACTGTGGATCCATAAAGAAAACTACTTGATTGAAAGAGATTGCCTTAGTATGAGTTGTAAGTAAGCAAGTTCTGATGTAAACATGCATAATATTAACTTAAAATATGGCTCTATCATTGACTGCAATTGTTTAACAACATGCAATATGATTACTTTTTTATCTATACATCTATTAACTTTATATATCAATACATTTCAAACTTTAGGGCAAAATATAAGTTAAAGATCAAATTGGTATTTAAAGTTATCATTTCATTATTGAGATAAAAGCAACAGTGCACCCCGTCAACTTTGCACTGGCACCATCATCATGCCACTAGTATTTCCACATATACACAATAAATAAAAGCAGGTTCACCTCCCCATTTTTAAAACACTGACCACAAGACCTTTCGTTGAATCTGGATGCTGTTTTTTTTCTTCGATACTGCTGCATGTAATAAAACCTGCAGACTCGAGAGCAGTGGTTCTCAAACATTTCTGTCATTCCCCACTTTGAACAGGTGGGCCTTTTCATTCCCCACCTGTTCCTCATCGCTCCAATAAAATGGTAGGCCAAGCTTGAAATTGTCAAATGTATCGTTCTATAACAGGGGTCTCCAACCTTTTTTAGGATGAGAGCTACTTTCAAAAAATAAAACAAGTCGTGAGCTACTTTTACTCCTCTTTTAGTTTTTTTGCAGTGTATATATTTAGCACATTTTAACATTATATGCTACCTTTAACCTTTGTGTGCTGTTTGGGTCTGTGGGACCCGTTTGCAGTGTTTACTAAAATAAAATGTAGCAATTTAATTATTTTAAACTGCTTTATTTGGTGGTGGACATCACATCCTCTAGGGGGGTCCGGGGGCATGCACCCCCAGGAAGATTTTTTTTAAATGTTGAAGTGAAATGCATCAATCTGGTGCACTTTGAGCTAGGGCTGCTCAATTCATCGTATTTTAATCGCAATTATGATTTTGGCTTGCAACGATTATGAAAACAACATAATCTAAATAAAACGATTTTTTTTTTTTTTTTAAATAGGTTTTTCAGTTGAATTATACTTAAAGTTCAGGGTAATCAACTGTTAAAAACATACTTTTCAAATTATTTTCTTCAATAAATGGATGTTTTCAAAGTAAATGGTTAATCGTTTTTAATAATCGTGATATCAATTATTGACCCAAATAATCGAGATTATGATTTTTGCCATAATCGAGCAGCCCTACTTTGAGCCCAACATGAATTGATGGATACAGCTCTCAACACTCAGATGAAAGGGAGCTGTATACTTTTCAATAATCCAAACATCTTTAGAATATGATCACAACAAATCATTTAAACTTGTTTATTCTTATCTTATGTTACCTAGTTAGCATTCTTTCTTTTTATTTATGCATATTTGACTAATCCCTCCCCTTTTAAACTTTTTACTGTCCTATAGTACACATTGGAAGGATTTCTTACTTTATTTTTTACAACTTTATTAAATAGATAAAGGTGTGCTCTCTCTCTCTCTTGCTCTCTCGCTCTCTATCTCTCTCGCTCCACATTGCTTTTCTTCCCGACTGCAACGCTGTTGTGTGTGTCTGTGAGAGCGTTTCACATGTGTGTATGAGAGATTTTTTACCAGTGGCGAGCCTGTCTCCGAGGGCCTAAGATATTCTACAAAATAATATTTAAAAACATTAAAACAAATTATATTTTTCTTTATATATTTTTTTAAAATATGTTTTTAGTAATATTTGTCATTAGTTTTACCAAAACTAACTTGATTAAATTGTATTTAAAATAACATTTCCAAAGAAATAAATCCTTTGAATATTCAGTTTCTGTTTGAATGTGAAGGGTTAAATGAAAGAAGCTCGTCTCTGCGAGGTGAAGACAGGAGCTGTTGGACGTCCAGCTATGAATTAACAGAGGGCCAGCTATAGTAACTGAAGAGAGTAATGTCAAATGACAGTACAATTGACCAATCATATCTTCCCTCTAAATGGGTGGGATTTATTATCGCGGACTTTATGACAAGTTCCGCCCGCTGTGAAATGTTTCTTGTTTCCATAGCAACAACAACTGTCAACAGCGTAAACTCGCCTTCAAAATAAAAGCGTGCCAAATTACACTTAAGACATACAACTGCAACGAAAGTAACAAACACAATGCAATATCCTTTTCAATTTCAAAGAACACAAATTGGGTTATTTACAGGTGTTGTTTTGTGTAGTAGAGGGTCGCTTTCATTGATGCGTTTTGATAATCCACCAGTGTGAAAAAAAATATATATATTATTTTGTATTTCGCGACCCACCTATCACATCTCTGCGCCCCACCAGTGGGGCGCGCCCCACACTTTGAGAAACGCTGCTCTAGAGGATGCTAGTCAGGCTTTAGACTGAGGATCACTTTTAAGACATTTCACTGCATTTAACCCATATTACACAGACAGTGAAAGACCAATATCAGCATGAACCACAGACATACAAGACAAACAGGAACTTATCAAAGGCCATAAAACCAGATATGTTGTCAGTTTCCTTTTGATGATTAGGTATTTTGTTTTGTGGAAACTGCACTAAATAGAAGTACCAACACCACATCAGTGTTTTGTTCAGTTAGTTAGAAACCACATCGTGACCTGGGATGGCGCTATGAGTGTTGCCACACAGCAGAAATGTACAGTAGAGACAAGGGCTTTAGGTTGTAAATGAAAAGGTTTTATTATGTATGGCACTGTGACCATGGATGTGACTTAAAGAGGCCCTATCTTTTGGAGTTTTCTCTTTCCTGTAGTGTGTCGTATAGGTTTTTGTGCATGTAAATGGGCTGCAAAGGCTCAGAGGGAGTTTTCTCTCCCCCCCTTCATGAAACCCCTCCATTGGACTCCTTTGTTTACTTCTGTAACATAGTGACATCACCATGTAACACTCGCACTTCTATTGGCTAGCGCTCCAACGCATTGTACGTGATAGGCTAAGGGAAGGGACATCTCTAAGCGGTTGACCAATCACAACAGAGCCGGCCAGCTAACCAATCACTAACCAATAGCGACAGCAGAAAACTAACAACGTCGCTGAGAGGCTGAGGTCGGGCCTGTTTGATATTGTGTGAGACGCTACAAAAAGTACTTGCTGAGATTAAAAACTCTGTTGAAAAATAATGTAGCTTAATGAAATCTGGGATGATCAACTTATTTTCCTTGGACATATACATTGTTATAATAATCAAAGCAATCATTAAACTTGCGGTCAACAAAAAGTACAACGAGCCTGTGTCACCCTCTCTTCCACACACACACCTCACGCAGGTGAACAGGATTATAATGAGTGCCTCCCATATCCATGTGACCCAAGCCAACCAATCAATAGTGATCAAACAAATATCTTATATTAAAACAAAACGAATTACTATACACGTTTCATGGCTCCCACATAACCAATCAGAGCAGACTGGGCTCTGGTTTCAGACAGAGGGTGGAAATAGGTGCTGCAGCACAGGCAGTATGAGAAAAATAAAGAGCTTTTTGAACATTAAAGCATGGAGACGTGTCCCAGTAGAGGAGCTAAATATAAATATGAAACCGGAAAATGAGCATAAAACGTCTTCTAGCTTTTGTATATCTATTTGGTTTAATCTGAAGTGATGTCTAACAGCAATATTAGATTATCTTGGCTAAATGATTGTGTTTTTTGGAAGAAATAATATAAGAATGGGATTCATTTGGGAATTTAAATCCCAAACCTTAACCCAAAAACAAACAAAAATAAATATGTCCGTGGAAAGTTCCTCAGACCAGTCAATCAATTAAAGACATTTACAGCAGACTGCACCTGTTTGAGATACAAGTATGATCCATAGCGGTAATCAGATTGAGTTATAAAACGTTGGTTATCGGGTTGTTTTTTCATCTGATAAAAGTCGCCCTAGTTATGATACTGACGTGACTCAGGTTTCTGACAGCAGCATCCCGGCCACAGTGACTCGCAGTCTGTAGTTTCCTGTCTCCGTCTTTAAGGACATACCACAAGTGTGTCAGATAGAATCAGGTTGTGCTTTATCAGAAGTTTGTAGGACATTTCGTCAGACCATGAAACGCCAGGACAGCCATGCTTCAAAGCAAAACATGAAGAGAGACATGCTGGCTTTCATAAAGATAGGGTAGACGTGATCTTTTTTAAATATGAGGCTAACAGCGCACATGGTGTCTCTTCTGTTCACATTGAAAGGGGCAGAAAAAGCTACGTTAGCAAGTACAAACTTTGGTTGGCTGCGGTCAGAAGTGGGAAGTAGTGGAGTACAAATACTTCGTTACTGTCGTTAAGTACATTTTTCTGGTATCAGTACTTTACTCCACTACTTATTTTTCTGACCACTTTTACTTCTTACATTTTGAAAACAAATACCTGTACTCTCTAATTCTTACATTTTCAAAATAGGCTGGTTACTTTAGTTTTAACCTGCGTTTGGTGGCGTGATCATTATTATTTAGAGTCACTGCGTGCCTATTTATTTTAAGACGATCCGTGTATCCAGTGGCATTTTTTTTTTTAAATCGAGCGCTAACGTTGGCAATGTTGACGTGCAGCGGCAGCTGGAGCCGGAGGCTAACGATCGCTCACCTGCCTCACCACCATCAATGCCATCTAGCTCCACAAGTGAAGCTGTATCCGTGGCCGTGGCTGTGCAACCTTCTTCTCCAGCCAGCCAGGAGGAGAGGCTGGATTTGGCTGTGCCCGGCGGTGGTCCAACAGTTCCCCCAAGGGCCCCAACCGATAGGGGACTCTATGGCGCTATTGAGAATCCCGACGCCAAGATCAAAAGCTATATTATAGCAACCGGTCCATGTAGGCCTACCGGCCCATTCCCCAGAGACAAACATCAAGGAAACAAGTTTAATCCTCTTCTTAGTTAGCCATGCCGTTGTCAGGCTGTGGTGGTTGGAGGCAGGGGCGGCGCCATGGGGGAGCTAGGGGGTGAAGCACCCCCCAGGATTGCAAAAAGCACCCCCAAGAAATATGTGTTTTTTTTTCTTTTTTCGGTGGGCCCCAAAACAATATTTGCACCGGGGCCAATCACAACCTTGTTACGCCACTGCGTGCATCCATCATTTCCTGGTCTTCTCTAAAGAAGAGGGACCAATGGAAACGTTGTCATGTTGCCGTTGTTCAGCATGGAAACATTCATTAGCTAACAATGACATTATTGTTCTATTAATATAAAGGGAGGTCAGGTACTCTTTAAAACAGCTGCTAGTTATGGGTACTTTTTACTTAAAAGCCCATACTTCTTTACATTTACTTCAGTAGAGAAGTTTAGTCAGTACTTCTACTTTTACCGGAGTATTTTTAAACACGAGTATCTGTACTTCTACTTGAGTAAAGGATGTGTGTATTTTTGCCATCTCTGTCTGCGGTAGACTCCAAAAACTTGTCCTAAAAACTTTTCTTGAGCTCATTGAAAATGTCTGGAGGTTTCAGGAAAGAAATCCGCAGCGATGAGAATTGAAATGCACTTCGCAGATGTTTCTTCCTTTATAACTCGTCATATTGAGAATGATGACTGACCCAATGGGGAATATGCAATCTCCTAAAAAGCTTTTGAAGAATTTAGTTTGGACCAAAGTGGCCGACTTTTAAATACTGACTTTTTACAAATTCTTAGGTAAACAAGCAAGATTACAAGCAAGAAAAAAAGACCAAAAACACAGGCTGTTAACAACAATCCAAACGCTCCTACTCTCATCTTCTCTCACTAATACTGATTGTCTCTGTGGTTTCTATTTATCTCACGCAAAGATGTGAGAAGCCTTCACACCGGCACACACTCTGATAAACAGGATGTGAACTAACTGCTGACTCCACAACATAATCAGAGAATGGTGTTGTTTCAAAGTAACTGCTGATAAAGATGGAAAATGGACGCATGCACCTATAAAGCAAAAGGACAGACACATACAGATAAAGCAAATACAATTACGATTTTCTTTTTCTGTAACCTCATTGAAATTCAGTTTTTCCTTCAAATGAAATCTTATGTGCAGACAGCAATACAAAACACATGTTTATCTCTCCTGTCAATGTAAAGCCTAGTTGAAAGAGGAGGCACAATGACAAGGACATAATTAAGCCTAGAGAACTCACATTTCAAAACATAAATATGAAAATCTTTTTTTTTGTAACCAGGTAAATAAGACATTTTAATCTGCCTCTTATTATTTCATTTTGGATTAAGAAGCAGTTAGAGATCAATTCCATTCGTTTCAAGTCATTTTGCAACTAATTCCATGACGAAAACTGAAATGTTTTTTTCCGATTTTCCAAGGACGTATGAGACAAAAACCAAGAGAGAGGCAGAATGGAAAATGCATGACTGAGGCAGACAGCCTTTTGCACTCGGCAAAGATGTGAAAGAGGACATATTATGCAAATGTTCAGGTTGATATTTGTATTCAGTGTCTCTACTGTGAGATGTGTTGTTTAATGTTTAAAAAGCTCTTTATTTCTCTCACACTGCCTGTGCTGCAGCACCTCTTTTCACCCTCTGTCTGAAACCAGAGCCCAGTCTGCTCTGATTGGTTAGCTGGCCGGCTCTGTTGTGATTGGTCAACTGCTTAGAGATGTCCTGCCCATTAGCCTATCACGTACAATATGTTGGAGAGCTAGTCAATAAAAGTGCAACTATTACATACAGTAGTGATGTCGCTATGTTAAAGAAGTAAACATTTGAGCCTTTGCAGAACATTTACATGCACCTATACACTGTAACACACTACAGGAAATGAGGACTGAGGAGAACACCCTCAAAAGTATACCTTTAAATGCACAATAAGTATGATTTTGGTTGTGGTTACTGAACACAACAACGAGTGCTTTGTCTGGCCTTGATATATTTGTGTTTCTTTGGCAGTGTGTCCTCCGTATTTAAACGATATGCCTACTGACAATCTTGCATCTAATCACAAACATTTAACAACAAATGGACAAAACGCTCCTCATCTCGTCTTCTCTCACAGACACTAATACTGATTGTCTCTGTGGTTTCTATTTGTCTTTTCTATTTTTTTTGTTGAAGAGATATGTCCCGAAATAACCCAGAACACGAAGAGGGCTGCAGTTTCTTAACAGATGAAGAAAACGGCCACACACTCATGACACAAGTGAGTCATCGGTCATTATTTAGTCTGTTTCCATGAGAATCTTACTAATGTTGCTCTTAGTTACACATGTATTTCCATTTAAAGAAAGCTTGTAGATTGTCCGGATAAACATCACTTTTAGGAGATGTGCTCTTTATATTTCGCAGAGCAAAATGCTACAATTTACAAATCATTACGTCTCTTTTACAAAAGTCCAACATTTTATATAATGTTACATTCGCAATTAGTGTACTGATCTTCGGATGAGGAGAGCACTGGTTCAATCCCCCACTGCAGACACCCCAAATTGCTCCTGTGGGGATTGCCCAGAGTATTGAGTGTATGTTAGTTGGTTTTGGTAAAAGTATCTAAAAAGCGCCTAAAAAGCGACATGTAATAGTGTAAGAAAAACATTACATTCGTACATTTTCACCCTTAAAAAGGATCTACATGATTACCACATTTTGGCCATAGTTTTCATTTTGATTCCTGTCACTTTACTCATCGGTTAATAAATAGTCGCTGTGGATAGAGACGACGTGTTTGGCTTTTTGGTCTGTACCCTGTTGTACCCTGTTGTACCCTGCTGTGGCATCATATTGCTATTTGTGGGGCGGTGGTGGCGAAGTCGATAGGGACTTGGCTTGGCAACTGGAAGGTCACCAGTTCAAGACCAAGTGCTACCGAGGTGTCCATGAGCAAGGCACTGTTCCCTACACTGTTCCCCGGGCGCCGTTCGAAATGGCAGCACACTGCTCCTAACACAGGATGGGTCAAATGCAGAGAAACAATTTCCCCACGAGGATTAATAAAGTATATTAATATCAGAATACAGTATATTTTTAATGTTTGGTGTTATTGGGTAGATACTATACATCAACAAAGTACCTAAACTGTTTCAGGATTTTATGAGGAAGAGCTTATTTTAGGTGCTAGAAACAGTGTTTCTACTGTTAAAAAGCCTGCTTTAAACTTAGCAGACTCTAGTAGAAGTCAAACATCAACATTGTGCCCGCTTACCTGTCGGTTCTGAACTGAATAACACAAATATGTTATTTTCTGCTGTGCAGGAAGTGCTGTCATTTACATTTCTTGTTGATCTGTAAAAGAAATTGGTGAAAATACGCTGCTGCATGATGGGAGGAAAGAGTTCCAACCACAGAAACTATACACAAACAGTTTGACTGACAGCTGTGGAGTCATCACAGAAATAAAGTGCTGGCACTGCAGAAACCAACATGAAAGTCCAACCTAAAAACTTCCTATTTCCTGTCTAATGAAAATCTTGTCACCAGAATGAAGTCTTTGCGATGTTAGTTCATGTCTTTGCTCTGTGCTGCCGGTGTTCTCCAAAGTGTGAGAGATGGCAGAAAAGATGACAGCTTGCAGCTTCTTCATCATCTTCACAATTTATCTGACCTTCATCTTACACCCGAGCCATGGTAAGTCACCATCAACTACGCAGTCACGTTTAAGGCTTGTTTTTGTATGTTCTATTATGATAATGATGGTATAACTAATAATTCATCTAATGATCCAACATAATCGCAACCAACTGTTTTTCTAAATGCTTTCTACATTTGAGTAACCCTAACCCTTGTTTACTCATTTGTATTTCTGACACAAAGCAGCAGCAGTCAGAATATTAATATACTGAACTTTAAAATAAATTGAACACTGATTTAATGTTTAAAAAAAGAGGCGAAAGAGGGATTTGTTGATGCGGTGTATCGCCCGTAATTCACTGTTCTATGTGAAAAATAGTCCTGACAGAGAAAATGTACTTCTTAAAAGCAATGAAATGTTGTCTGTATGGTTTTCTTATAAAAGTGGACTAACAAAAGGAAAGTCAGCTCATGAGTGTGACGTGTTTTTCTCGTTGCTGGAATTGTTTCTGTTATCAGGTTTCGGGGTGATTCAGCCTCAGAATCTGACCGTGACTCCGTCCGCCACCATCAGCTGTGAACACAATGCAAACGTCAAATCTGTGAAAGATGTTCGACTCAACGCCATTTCCCAGTATGTATCCTCGTGTATTTATGTTTAGTTCAAAATTAAACTGCATCTCCTCATCTACATAAACATACAGTATGTCACCCGACCAAACACAACACACTACTCAATTACCAAAGAAGCAAAGTGTAGTTGCTGCTGGGTTGAAAATGCAATGTGACAGTAAATTAACTCACATTGCCTTTAAGTTTGAAGCCACTTTACAGTTGTTGTAAACCAGCAAAAACATCCCTGAAAGTAAGAAGCCAAATGTTTTAAATGTGTTTTTCTTTAGATGACAAAATGTGACGTGAAACAAAAATCCTCATATTTGGACCAACATGAAAAGTTGGGTCTACTTTTGTTCAGCTCAATACCTTTCCCCTGATTTATAATTGAAAACAAAGCATTTAATGAATACTGTGTACGTGCACATTTAACATGCTTTTAGCAGTTTTATTGAAGCTGAAGGTGTTGCCTTGGACTTATAGACAAGGCGAAAACAAAACAACGAAAAAGAAAAGACCAGAGAGGGCAAGAGGAACAAGCGCCAACCTGCATTATAAGGATTCACAAGGACCATATGAGTCTTAACGATACCCATTATCATCATGGTGAAATTATGGTTAAAAACTACACACATGAAACAAACAATGAAGCTACATAAACCTTTTTTAACCAGAAATTAACATTAAAGTAACTGGAAATCATTCTCTTGTCTCAGGCCCAGCTTGTTTTAAAAGCTCAAACTCCATGTCGCTTTTATTATTACACTCAAAACATGTTCTCCATCACACTATATAAATTCCCCAGTTATTTCCAAATACAATCCTTTGGTTCATACTCATTGCTTTTATAACTAGTTATTATTTTATTTGTTTATTTCATTTCAGTTCCAAACTAACTGCATTCAGATGTTGCTGTTTTATGCAATTATTTAAGTTACACAATAAATTCAAACTATTTGATTCAAATTAAATTCATAATTACACATTTCTGCCAATTTACCCCTTTTTTTACTATTAATAACTACATATATTTACATATAACATGGACCTCCATTAGCTTACTCACTACTTAACTCTTCAAATGTATTTTAAAGTTTTATTTTGATGGCGGTCATGAACCTTTCTTGGCCTGGTTTGGTCTTCTCATCTTTCAATTGTGGTGGAAAAGGGATACAATCTCCTAAAATGGTGAACAAAAATATTCCTTTAACCTCTCAGAACAGACCCAAGCACAATGCTCTGCCAGAAGGGAATGAAAGACTGTAAAGACATCATCATGCATCAAAAGGATCCCAACAAGTGGCTTTTCATCCTACTCAACATCGGGCCAGAGGCCATGAAGATGAAATACGAGTGTGAGTTCACGGTGGAAGAAGGCGGGTTGGATAAAACCGAGTTAGGAGATGCAACCATACTCCTTTCAGGTATGTAAATACAAGGCAATGAGGAAATACAACACAATACCATTTGTATGTGAAATGCATAGTGACTGTACTAAAATACAAAACGTTTTCCTTTTCCTATGTGTTAAATAGATTTTAGTGCATGTAAATGGTCTGCAAAGGCTAAAATCCCTGTGTTCCCTCCAGTGGAAGTTTCTCTCCCACACACTCCCCCCTTATTAAAGTAATCTTTCGTTGACAATTCGTCATGGCTTCTTAAATATGTGGATTTGAAGCTTAAATCGTTTTGATTGATTTAACTTTTCATTATACATACAGGAATTTCTTTTACAATGTGGTAATGTTTTTTTCTGTGACATGTCTGAATACTTTCTTTAACATATTATTTAATATTCTATAAAATAACTGTCTTTAAAAAAAAAGAAAAACAAAGCAGTAGTATTCAAATGTTGATTGAATAAAATATTTGTAAGACTCAAATTGGAAAGCAACCTTTAGGGGGTTTATTTAAAATATTCCTTTTCTAAATACATCTCTGTTCATTCGGGATGTTTTTAACTTGAAGCTGTATTTGAGTTTGTGCTATCCAACACCTCAACACTGAATCGATGTTTAAACCAGTAATATACAAACAGGAAATTGCATTTACATTTTTTTGTAAGGTCAAAAGGAAGTGACCTGCGCGCCTCAGCCTACGTCTTCACCTCCATCTTCACCTCCGTCTTCACCTCCATCTCATTTGCTCAGCTGGATTCTGATTGGTCTACTGGCTCTGATGTTCCTGTACAGCTGTCTCATCACCGGCTTCTACATCAGACTGACGGTACCTGTCTCTCTGACCGTCTTTCTGTCATAATCCTGGGGTTGATTGGGTTTCCTGTTTTATTTTTAAATGTATTTTCTCCTGTCTTGTTTCACTTCCTGTCTCTGTGTTTTCCTGCATTGCCAAGCTGTGACAGACGCAAATTGAGATGATGTCCCACATTTGATTGACAGGCAAGAGAGGGCTTTCACCTTGTATCAGATGTTAATCAATCAATCAATCCGTTGCCTGCATTACGCCCTACTGGCACACAAATGCACAAGCTACCAGCAGAGTATGATGCAAACTTTGACAAAGAAAAGGAGGTACAGCTACTCTGGGAAACTTTTGACTCATGTGTGAAGCCGGTGGAGGGAAATTCCCAGAGAGCTTTTTGTGACATTTGCTAGAGTTTCTAGCATCGAGGTGAATATGACTTGAAGTGTAAAAACTAAATGTGAGACCTAATGCATACGCTCATGGTTTATTTCTTAAGATATATCAAGATGATATTGAATAGTAGGGAATCAGACAGGAACAAAACAACACCACACATCCGGACCCAGACAGAAAGAAAGACAACAAACACAAGACAGACTTATATACACAAACAGGACTAATCACAAAGACAATACACAGCTGGGGAGGACAGGCAGAAACACAAGAGTAGCAGGTGAAAGGAATCAGACAATCAGACAGGCGGGAAAACACAGAGACAGAGACAGGGCAATAAAGGATTTTCTAGGATCCACAATATCAATACTAAGGCCTCCCAAATGTTGGCAAAATAAGGAATGGTCTATAAAACTACAAGTTACTCCCTACAATTTCTACTTTCTCTGTCAACCTGATTTCCTACTCACTTTTGAACTGAACTAAGTTTTTCTTTATGGCAGTTACAATTCATATATTGTTTTGATTCCTATATCACTAGCACTGGGGGCTTGTTTTTACTCATTAAGTTATGACTAGAGAATAAAACAGTGATACATGTGCTGCTTCTCTGTTTCTGTGTTTCAGTGCAGTGACACAGATCCCGAGAACTCCACATACGTAGAAATGCGGAAAGCTCCTCGGCCGTGTTCACCGGACATCTACCGTGGGTAGCCATCGTTCTTCATCTTCGGCCTCATACACCATGTAATGAGGGGGTGTTTTTCATGCCGCTGTTATCATAATTGCATATATTTATATTGTAAATGAGTGGAAAAGTCCTGCAACAACTGCAGATAGACAGCAGGGGGAGACAGAGACTGTCTACATGCTTGTATTATGTATGCAATGTGGCACCCTGATGTTATTGATTGTATTGGATATATATATATTGTAATTTATTATGAATTTTAAACTTTTTTTCTATAATGCAACATTTTCTTACAAACTAAAAGTCAAACATGTTTTATATTTAGACATGATATAAATGTTAGTGTATTGATACAGAACTATGCTATACAGAAAATGCATGCATGTACAGTATATTTCTAGTTCTGATATGGGTATGATTTGTAACAATAAAATCTCAAATTAAGGTTTATAGAGGTCAGGCTATGTTTTATAAAATAAATATGTGTCACATGCAAGAGCAGGATAATAATATTGGCAAAATAACTTTTAAGAAAAATAAAGATATAATGGGCCTACTGCAAATCCTCACACACAATTACTCTTATAGAAATCTGGTAATGAGTTTTTCCCTCACTGTCTGCAGCAGGAATGAGTCCCATTGAACAGAAACACAGATCACTCTTCTCACGCTCACAGTGAATATGAGAGACAAGTAGGCTGACAAAAAAAACAAAGCAGCCGGTGTCTGACGGTCTGTGAACTGCAGGCATTGCAAACATGTCAGTGAGGGTGTGGGAATGCCTGAAAAGAAACAAAAGCATCTCAAGTCATTTGTTTGAACGTTCCAGCTGTCAAACTTAAATATACTGATGTAAATATAGCAGGTTCACGAGCATAGCCACTGTTCCTTATTCTACTTGTGCTCAGTTTTCTCCGTCTTTTCTAAAGTACTCTATCATCTGAAGCACTTTGACAATAACAACTCAAAGTCATACCTACACTTCTTCTCCCTGGCCTTCTAGTCAGAGCGGAGCACGACTCCTGACTTTTCCCTGTGTTTTTTATATCTGTTGTAATTTATTGTCTTTTATTGTGATTGTAGTATTGTGTTTTTATTACATGTACTGTACAGCACTTTGGCTCGACCAAAAATCGCTTTTAAATGTGCTTTATAAATAAAACTTGATTTGATTTGATCCATAACATACATCTTGATTATCATTTGCATCTCTAAAAATGTCTTTCTTTTTACATGTATGCTAGCTGTGATGCTACAGTGACTCCTGTTTACTTGTAAACTTGTACTTGAAGTTGTAATGAATACTGTAAAAAATAAATGTATATGTATGTAGAAAGTATGACATATGCATTGGTTTTCAGCATTTGCATTTGCAAGGTAATCCATCATTAGAAGGCCTCTTCTGAGCATCTGCAGCTCATAAGGGTTACAGTGTTAAAACACATAACGCATTTATTTTAATTTCTCTGTACAGAATTCAAAACATTGTGATTGGCTCCATGCAGATCTCAACATGGTAAGGGTTAAGCTAATGGTGCTAACAGCAAGAACAGTTAAAGGTTCACTTTAACTCAACACATACAAGTTATAAAGTTGTTTTTTTCACCATTTAAAAAGTAGTACCTTCAAATTGTTGTTAAAAGGAAGCTACTGTTCATTGTATTGGGTTTATTGAGCAGTCACTGTAATGTAATGATTTGGTACAGCAAATGTTGCTCCCTAGCTAGCTATCTAGCATTAATCCTGTGTAGGGCACAGCATCCATGTGCGATTTGAGACAACGCTACCTGGTTGTAATTCACGCAATGTGCAAGTGTTTACATTATTCAACAAGACAGCGTTCAAAGGGAAGTATTTCAATTGAGACACAGCAAGGGACTCGCACCAACACGCACGAGTGGCCGGCGCAGGTGCAAAACAAATCACAAAGAAGCTCAGATTTGAACAAACACAAGAGGGGGTGTTATCTAAATATTTGCTGCGGGCTAATGCACTTTAAACTTTTTTAATGAATTGCAACTGCATAAAAAGTATAATTCATAAGTTTGTCTTTTCAGTGGAAGATGCAACTATTTTCATCTCCTCACAGAGTTTGCATCATGTGTTGATGTTTGGATCTTACATCATATGTTTGCTTTGCAGCATGGAGGATGTCCTTTACACCTCTGATTGGGAGGATCCCTCTGAGATGAGAGTTTGAGATCATCTGACATGAACACAAGAAGGTGTGAATCCTTAATGAGAGCAATAACTATGTGCTGATGTTTGTTGTGTAACGTTCCTGACACACACCCAGTCTAATGGGCTTCATTAGTCAGGTACAAAGGTGTGTGTGTGTGTGTGTGTGTGTGTGTGTGTGTGTTAATGTAAAAGCTAAAGGAATGGATAAAAAACATATTGTAAGATGCACATATTTGCCATAATTTGTGAATTCCATGTGAAAAGTTAGGAATTCCTTGTCTCACCACACCGAGGCCTCTGACACCCTTTCATCAATCATTACATTACATTACATTTAGCTGACGCTTTTATCCAAAGCGACTTAGAATAAGTTCATTCGACCAAGAAGATACAAACTTGAAGAAAACAGATGTACTTGAATCATATCAAGTAGGCCTACATCAAGTTTCATAGAACCAACATATTTCAAGTCTTACTCTACTGGCTTTAGATAAACCAGTCCTTTATTAGTATATAAGTGCTTTGTTAGTAATTTTATTTCTCGAAGTGGAGTCGAAAGAGATGAGTTTTAAGTCTGCGCCGGAAGATGTGTAAGCTTTCTGCTGTCCTGATTTCAATGGGGAGCTCATTCCACCATCTTGGAGCCAGGATAGCAAACCGTGTTTTTGCTGATGGGAACTTGGGTCCTCCTCGCAGTGCGGGTGCAGCGAGCCGTTTGGCTGATGCAGAGCAGAGTGCACGTGCTGGGGTGTACAGTTTAACCATGTCCGAGATGTAGGAAGGGCCAGATCCATTCACAGCATGGTACGCAAGTACCAGTGTCTTGAAGTGGCCTGCAACGCCTGCCGCCTGATCCCGCGGCTCAGCCGCCACCTGCGTCTGGAGCACTTCCAGGCGCAGTATGTCTCGCCGGAAGAGGTGGAGGACTGGGACCTCGAGGTGGTGGAGATGGAGGAGCAGGATGTCGGTGTGCCCTTCGTGTTCGCCATGCCAGCGGGCCAGGCAGCCCCGTTCGTCGAGGAGGAAGACGACAACGACGCCTCGTTGTCTGATGCTTCCGGGGCCGGCCTCCAGGAGGGTCCACAGCGGCAGGACTTCCCGGCGGTGATTACTATGGCGGTGGAGCATGCAGGCTTGCCACTCCCCCCACCACTGCCACCGAGGCCGGTGAGCTGCCTCACTCAGGGCAAGGAGAAAAAACATATTGTAAGATGCACATATTTACCACAAGTTGTGAATTCCATGTGAAAAGTTAGGAATTCCTTGTCTCACCACACCGAGGCCTCTGACACCCTTTCATCAATCCTTTCAGAAGTAAATGGTTTTACTTTGTACAGGAAGTATAAGGATTCTTCTAACAAAGGGGGACAGCTAAGCACAACAGCAAGATGTTCAATACAATTGGTCAGATCTTCCTTTGAGTACCTTGGCATAAGCTTTTCCTGGGTGGTTGAGCAACATGATACCTTGATATAAAAGAGGAGTTAGCCCTTGACCATCACTCAAGATTGAAGAGACATGTCTGCCAGAAACCTGAACAAGGTCTACAGCCTTTAATATTGCTGGGCAAATCTCATCCATACCTGGCGCTGTGATATTGGGATATGGGTAATGCTTCCCTATAATCTTTCAACTTTTCATTATCCATCGACAACATTTTGGATGTGTTTGGGAGCCCTTCAAAGTGCCTGACAGTATCAGGATATCAGCAGCTCTCCTCCTGAGCTGAACACTCTGAAACCCTGTGTCCCTTTCCTGAGTCATCTGGGGGCTGCCAGACCTTTCTTGAGACAAACCAACAGTCAATCTCATTGGCCTTCCCAATCTCTATGTCGTTTTTGTTTCAAAAATAACCCTGGAACAACCAGGCCCAAAAGGCTAAAAGACCTAATCCATTGTCTAGAAGCAAGTTGGCTTCATTGATCCTTTGACCATAACTCTGAGGAGCCACTCCCACAATGTAACTTATCAGCATGGCCCACTTGGTTTCAATACTTCAAGAAAAATGTTAATCTTTTAAGATTCTTTACACTGTAAAACCACTCTTGATGAGAAGGAAAAAGTGGCATCCATAATCAAATAAGATGATGTCAATGCCGGGAATTACGAAATATGGTTGCATGAAAGTGATGAAGACTGGGATAAAGATGACTGCAGAAAACAAAGTAGAGCTTAGGGATTTCAGTTTTAGCTAGAGAGAAAGTAATAGTAGGGGCAGGACGGATGAGAAGAGATATATCAACTTTGAGCTTTGCCAGAACACAGCAGCTTCTCACCCAGGGCCGGCCCTTGGCATAGGCAGTATAGGCGAATGCTAACCCCTAATTTCCACCGGTTCCGTCTGCGTCGCGTCACGGCCACGCTACGGCCGCATTACGGCTACGCCGCGGCGTTCGCACAGATCGCGGCCACTCTAGTCAATGGGTGCTATTCCACCACACGCAGTGCGTTACGGCCCGTCCACACAGCGGCGTGCGTTGAAGCTTCCAACGCTTCTGCCCATTCACTTTGAATGGGGTGACGTCACTTTTAGCCGAACTGCATTTTGGGAAGCGACGTGGAGCGTTGCTGGCGTAGCTGGCGTCAAAAGTTGAGGCAATGTTCAACTTTTGACGCCTCGACGGAGGCGTCAGCCAATGAAATCCAGTTTATGCAAATCTGCCAGTACAATCGCTAGCCAATCAAACCGCGTGTATGCTGGGAGAGACTACGCAGGTCATTTCCTCATATTCAAACAAATTGAGGGAAAATTCATTGTAGCGGTAGTGAATCACCCGGTGCTGTATGATCAGTCTCTGTTCATCTACCGGGATACAAACCGGAGGAGCGAGGCATGGAGGGAGGTGGCAGAGACAGTGGGTGAAACTGGTAGGTTTTCGCCTGTTTGGGGATTTTATATCCAGTTTACTTCGTTTTAACATTGCTATTGCTTTGTATGTCGGGGGCGGGAGATTCATGTGATTGGTTGTTGGTCGTGTTGCTCGCAAAAAATCCCCAAGCTTCAGATATGCCCACCTCCAAGCGTCAACGCACGCTGCTGTGTGGACGCTCCGTTACGGCTCAGAAGAGTCTCGGCACAGGGCTCCTCTAAAATTAGGATGAATCCTATTTTTGACGCGACGCAGCCGTAAGGTAATGTCAGGCAGGCAGGAAGTGGAATGGTCAGAGCATCGGATTTCACATCGCATAAACACCATTTCCAAACGTGCATTGCGGCTAAACCATCGAATCACCGAGCTGAGGATCTTACCTACGTCTGTTTCCGGT